AAGTGGCTTTAGCTTCTTAGTGCTGTGCTTTAACCCACTGCGCACCAGGGAGGGCCCACTTACATAATTTTTTAAAAAAAGATTTATTTTGATCCCTGGCCAGGGAGCTAACCCACATGACATAGTAGACCTCTCCTGCTCCCTTTAGCAGGGTGTTTCATAGATCTGCCTGTTCTGCTCCTCAGCCTGTCTTTGGTGAATCCTTTTATGTCCCTCCTTCCTCTCCATACCCCTTCCCCGCCCCCACCCCCCAGATTCACTGGCCTACACTCCAGTTCTTCTATGCAAAACATAAATAAAAATCTTAAAAAAAACTCAAAACTGTAGAGATATATATAATTCATCCTTTCAGTGTGTATAGTTCAGTGATTTTTTTAAGTATAATCAGAGGTGTGCAAGTATTACTACAGTCAATTTCAGTACATTTTCACCACCTCTATAAGAAATACCAGACCCCCTGTCCCGCTCCAAACCCCTTCATCCTGGAGTATCCATATTCTACTTTCCACCTCTATAGATTTGACTCTAATGTATATACTTCATATAAATGCACTGGCTTTCTGCTCTTAGCATATAATACTCAAGTTTCATCCATATTATAACATGTATTACAATTTTATTTCTTTTGATTGCTAAATAATCTTTTACAATTTTTTATTTAAAAATGCTTAACTAGGGCCCACCCTGGTAGTGCAACGAGTTAAAGCACAACACTAAGAAGTTAAAGCCACTTCAGCATGAGTTCGATGATCCACATGGAGTGATCCACAAGGCACGGCAGACCTCTCCTGACCTGCCTCCTGCTCCTCTCAGCAGTGTACTTGTCAATCTGCCTGTTTTGCTACCCATTCTGTCTCTGGTGAATCCTCTTACCACACTTCACCTCTAGCTTGTACCCCAGTTCTGTATGAATAAATAAATAAATCAATCTTTTTTTTTAATGCTTAATTAAAATTCCTAACTGGGAACACCTAGATTTTTAATAACCTCTTAAAGTAGACTATAAATATGACTTTTTGTTTTATTTTTTAAAAAGGAATCTTTCATAATATGTCTTATGCTGTTCCTTTTTTAAAAAAAATAAGTTTATTTTTGTCATTTTGTGTGTGTGTGTATATATATATATATATTTTTTTTTTTCATCTCAGTTGTATTCCCCATGGGTTTCCCATCACCGCATTTAATTAAGTGATTCTGCTTCTCTGATCAAACTCTGATTAACGTAGTCTTTGGAGTTTCTTTCTGAATCGCATAGACCGTTTTACTCCTTTTCCACAACCTTTTACTGTAACGCCACCCCCTTAATGAGAGACTGCCTTGGAAAAGGGATAGTCATATTCATAAGATTATGGTTCATAGCTATATAGACAGGGCCTTGTTGTGTGGGTGCATAAGCTCTGATCTTCATGCTGTTGGCAGTTTGAGGAGCTAGCTGAGATTAGGCAGAGCTGTGGAGCATCTCAGTGGGACTCAGAACCACTGAGGGTTATTGTTTTGCTGAGAATCTAAGCCTAGAGGGAATATTTACAGGCTGTGTTTTTAAAACCACCTGACACATTTTCATTTGATTTTTTTCTTCAAAGTGAAAGCAAAAAGTCT